GCTACGCCCCGCGGATGACGACCTCGACCCAACGCGGCCCTGCGCCTCCCGGGATCCCGTGCCGGGAGCTCCCCGCGAACCGGAGAACGACCTACCTCGGTGCGGGGCGGCCACAAGCAACTCCAGCGCTCGGCGGCCGGCGGCGAACTGCCTGAGCATGCGCTCTGCGGGCCTCGGGCCGCGACCCTGGCTAGAAAGGAAAATAAAGTGCCGGGCGGCTCCTGGCGGCCAGAGCGGGAAGTGCAACAGGATGCTCCCAGTTTGGATCCACTCACTACAGTGTTTATTTGGGAGACTCAAAAGTGGGGAAAAATGGGGAGAGACTACTACAGTCCTGGTTTGTTTGGGAAAACCTGGGGTGTGAGATCTGTGCGGAGTAAAACAAGACTGGTGGTCCTTGTTCTCAAAGTGCCCATGCAGAGAGCTGAAAAAAAAATCCAACTATTACTTATACAGGGCCAACTGATTCAGCCTGGGAAGGCCTCGGAATTTTTTTTTTTTTGAGACAGGGTTTTCTTTGTGCAGCCCTGGCTGTCCTGGAACTCTTCGTAGATCCTCCAGCCTCTGGCTCCCTAGTGCTGGGATTAAAGGCATGCACCACCACCCTCCAGGCTAGGAATGGCTTTCTAGTTAAAGTGGGGGAGAAAGCATTCAGGAAGGGTAACATGTCTGTGTACCTTGTGTTTACCATGCCTGCAAAGGCCAGAAAGTGGGTGCCTGATCCACTAGAACTGGAGTTACAAATGGTTGTGACCTGCCATGTAGTAGTTCCTGGCAATGGAATATCTGCAAGAGCAACAAGAGCTCTTAACCACTGAGCCATCTCTCCAGTCCCAGAGGGATGACAGAGGGTACAATGTGTAGTAAAACTGCCATATACCCTGGAGTGAGGGTCTAAGTTGTCTATGGAGACCGTGAATTACTATGGGAGGGTTAATATGATCAGAATTTTATGAATGGACTTGGGGGGAGGGGGAAGTTGAAGTGATAGCTGAGATTGAGCCCTGGCTGCTCTTCCAGAGGACCCAGGTTCAATTCCCAGCAACCACATGGTGGTTCACAGCCATCTGTAAGGAGATTTAGTGCTCTATTCTGGCATGCAGGCATACACCGAGTCAGAACACTGTGTACAAAACAAATTTGGTGAAGTGGAACCAGGGAGATTAAGATAAGGCCTGGGTTGGTGGCACTCCTTATGTTTTTAATTCCATCTTCCCAGAGGCTAAGGCAGGAGGGACAGCTAATTCCAGACCAGGTGGGATGCATAGTGAGAGTCTATCTCAGAAATGAATGAATCAATGAACGAATGAATGAATGGGGATAGCATCACTATGGATTTGCCTGTGTGAGGTTCAAGGTTCAGCTCCCAGATGGTGAAGGGAAGGGAGGCCATAGGCTGGGAAAGAGAAAGCTGACTCCGGGCTGGGAACTGCTCAATTAAATGCCCGCTCATCAACATCCTCACACGAGCAGCCCTATAGGTGATGTTCGGAACATTTGATTGTGAATGGCCTTCCTACCTGAGAGCAGTTATCTCTACAGTGTTTTCTGTGTTTCACATTGATTCTGACTCCAAGTTACTGTGCTTTCAATTTTTCCTTTACATTGCTTACATTTGGTAGTGAGCCCAAGCCTTTCACGGCCAAGCCACCCCTCCAACTCCATCTGTTTATCTTTGAGATAGGGTCTCATCTCATTATGTACATCAGAATGGCCCTAAACTGCCTGCCTCTGCCTCCCTACAGCTGGGAATAAAGGTGTTGTTATTTCTTAAGTGATCCCTTTCTTTAGCAGCAAGATCAGTACCTGAAAAAAAAGCCAGCCCCTTGGCTTGTCTGTCAGCAAAAGTAGGGCTCACAGCTGGGAAAGAGGCCCCTCACCTGTCAACCCCTTTTTATTGCCTGTGTGCATGTTCACGCTAGTGTGCTTGTGGAGACTAGAGGACCTGCAGGAGTAAGCTATAACTTTCCACTATGTGGGTCCAAGAGGGCAAAGTCAAATCTTCAGACGTGGCAGCAGGCACCTTTAGCAAGTAAGCCGTCTCTGGTTGATCATCTGCCAGCTGCATCTCCCCTGTGTCGTGCCAGCCAGGGCCGTTTCCTAGTTGTCTTACCTTCTCAGGGTTACCTCTGCCTCCATCATGACCTCCTCTCTTAGGTGATAAATTGTGAAGTTTCTCCAAGCTTCACCCTGGAAATAAACGCTGGTCTCTCTGCTGTCTTTCTACAGGACCTTCCATTCACATGGCTTTATGTAACCACAGAAAAATCATCACTTATCTTACCTTATAAAAACAGGTTTTATTGTTTTGGGAAAGACTCCTGTACCCAGGCTGTCTCCAACTCCTAATACTGCTTCAGCCTTCTAGTGCTAGGATTAGAGGTGTGCCACCAAGCCCCTACCCCCAACCCAGCATGTATGCCAGCATACCAGTAGAGGCATCAGATACCATTAGATGGTTGTGAGCCACCATGTGGTTGCTGGGAATTTAATTCAAGACTCTTAGAAGAGCAGCCAGTGCTCTTAAAACTGAGTCATCTCTCCAGTCTCCAAACCATTTATTTTTAATTATGTCTGTGTGTGTGTGTTGGGGGGGGGTTGTGCAAGTGAGTGCATTGTGTGCAGATTGCAGAAGAGAGCGCTGGGACCTCTGGAACTGAGTTACAGGCAGCTGCTGGATGAGAGTGCCAAAAACCAAACTACAGCACTCTGGCAGAGCAATGTGACTTTTTTTGTAATGTGTCTCTTAACCACTGGACCACCTCCTATTTAGATATAAAACATCCTATGTGCATCAACTAATTTGTTTTTCACAAAAAACCTTAGGTAAAAATGAGATTAAAATTGTTGCCCTTGCAGAGAACCTGGGTTGGATTCCCAGGACCCACATGGCAGCTCATAATCAACTATAACTCAAATTCCAGGGGATCCCATGCTGTCTTCTGACCGCCGTGCACTTATGTGAAAATACCTGCAGGCAAAACACTCGCATAAAAGGAATAAGGGGCTGGAGATAGGGTTCAGCCATCAACAGCATTGGCTGCTCTTCCAAAGGACTCAAGCAATTCCTAGCAATACCCACATGACAACTCCAGTTCAGGAAATCAGACACCCTCACACATACATGCGCGTAAAAAAATTTCTTTTAAAGTCTTTAATTTGCCGGGCGTTGGTGGCACATGCAGGTGGATCTCTGAGTTCAAGACCAGCCTGGTCTACAAGAGCTTGTTCCAGGACAGCCTCCAAAAGCCACAGAAACCCTGTCTCGAGAAAAAAAAAAAAAAAAAAAAAAAAAAAAGCAGGGCAGTGGTGGCATACACTTCTAGTACCAGCAATTAAAGAATTAAAGAGGCAGAGGGAGGAGGATCTGTGAATTCAAGGCCAGCTTGATCTATACTGAGTTCTAGGACTGGCTCCATAGTTACTGAGAAACCCTGTCTTAAAACCCATACCCTCCCCCAATTAAATGAATCTTGAGAAAAAGAGGGATCAAGCAAGTTGTCCTAGCGGGAGTTGGGACCTGACTTCTATTCAGTATTGAGCTATCTTTTATTTCAAGGGAGGGACTTGACCTCAGACCTCTCATATGCCAAGGAGCTAATCCCTAGCTCCTGGGACTTTTAAATACGTCTCTGAAATTACAGGCCGGTGTTCATGATGTTCAGTTTGTTGCATGTGTGCTGCATGTAAAATCTGGTCATCATGGCTTATTGAATCAACTGCTCTAACCACTGAGCATTTCTTCAGCCCCACTTATTTCAGTTTTTCAAGGAAGGCCTTGCCTTCTGTGTAGCTTTGGAGCCTCATTCTGTCCACCAGGCTGGCCAAAAACTCAGATGTGCCTGTCCCACCACGATTTATGATGGTTATGAGCAGGCACTGGGGTCACATGCACAACCCCAGACAGCATTGAAAATAATGATTTGGGGGCTGGAGAGATGGCAATGCACAAACCAGAGCTGTACCAGAAAACCAAGGCACACACTGCCACTACAGGAAAATTTTAGCAAGGTGAGTTGTCTCCCACTTGCACTATGGCGTGAGAGTGTTGGAGAATGGACTTCCATTTCACCTGAGAAGCCTGACTTATCTGGCTCCACATAACTGTGCACTCTGCCTAGCTATCGCACTTAGGCACATAGTTCTTTAGACAAGGCCAGTCTGCTACACCAAACTCTTAATGGCGACCTGCAGGACACTGCAGTTAAGAGAACCAACCCTCACACCAATCTCATTCATTCCCACCTCCAGAAACCCCGACAGGGCTATGTACCGGAATCTTCAAAGGCCTATCTTCTCCCTATTCCACCATCATTCAGGGTCTTGATAAGATGAGGGCAGGTCGTACACGAAGCCAAGCTTCCCATTATGACCTAGCTACCATGTCCACCACACATCATAAGGCCAGGCTTTGGTTAAGCCAGACCCCCACAAAGCTCACTCATTGGACCACATCTACTTAAGTTACCTCAAAGGAATTCACTCTCAACCTTTGGGGGCATCAAAAACACTCAAGGATTACATGACAGCAACCACCCACACCAACGTGTGCATGTACTAACACAATAAGCCAAGAAAAGGGTACAGTCAAAATTTTGCCTTTAATTCACACAAATGTTAACACTGGTTTTGTCACGCATATCACATTTATGGAATAAACACAAGTTTTGTAAGCCAGTTTGGCTTTGAACCTGTGTGTGATCTTAGTGATTTTTATGGTTCTGGGGACAGGAACAGGTCCTTTTACATACTAACTACTTTCACACCACAGCAAAAGACCTCAAAAATCTAGGTATCATTAAGATCTCAAATATTTATATTTACCAGACTCAGAACCGCTATGAACAAGTGCTTGCCTAGCTTGACAAAGTTCTGGGTTGAGCTCCTAATACAGACAACTTTGCCAAACTGCATAAAGGTGCAAGTCCCCAAAGTTATCCTTCAGCAGGTAGCTGTGCAGATCCTCTTCTTTCCTGAACAAAAATAAGCAAAGATTAGATTCCCCAAAATGGAACACTGACACCCTAAGTCCCCTGAGCCTTTTGTTTCCTGCATGGTTTGTCTCCTCAGTCACGGTCCACAGGACTCTGAGGAGCTGTAGGAATATACAGGCGCAGACTCGAAGCCCGGCTTCATCTCCAACGGTGTGGAAAGGGACTGTACATCACGGGGCAGAGCCCTATGCTCCCCTACGCCACCAGGACAGAGCCCGGGGAGAGTGACCTCCCGGGGTATCCACGTTGGAATGAATGGCCAGTGCCCCAATGATTCGACAACCCTCCAAACCCCACTAAGTAACAAACAATAGCTAACACATTAAGTTCAGTTTTCAAATGGACAAGAGGATTCGAGTAATCGTACCTCAAAAGGATGAGTTACTTGTAATGACTGATCAGTTCTGCAAGGAATAACATTCTTCAGTAAGTAAAATTATATAAAGAAATTTCCCCGACATGCAGACTCACTCCCAGATGTCACGGTTTGAGACTGTTTCCTGCATGGTTTGTCTCCTCAGTCACGGTCCACAGGACTCTGAGGAGTTGTAGGAATATGCAGGCGCAGACTCGAAGCCCGGCTTCATCTCCAACGGTGTGGAAAGGGACTGTACATCACGGGGCAGAGCCCTATGCTCCCCTACGCCACCAGGACAGAGCCCGGGGAGAGTGACCTCCCGGGGTATCCACGTTGGTTAGTCACGGTAAAGAATTCTCAAAAAGCCTCACTGTGTATCTTTGCCTGACCTCCAGCTCGGAGAAGCAGCCGATTCCTGACAGACGGCAAAAGCTAAAGCCAACATGGCTGCACTTGCCAAAAAGACAAAACGCAGAAATCTGACTACCAGAAGGGGAAGGGTAACACAAAGCTGAACAGGGCAATTTTAAGTTAAAACCCTGACCAGGAGGGCCCACGTCTGCCCTAGTCATGGGGCTAAGTTACTAGCGACGGAAGCGTTTTTCTTTTGCTCGCCGAGTGCTGGGATAAAACATGTGCACCGCCACCGCCCAGCTACAGCTTCCCTTGAGCAGCGTTAATTCTAAGCTTAGAGAAAAGCAGAGACGCTGCTTTTTGCGTGGAACGCTTTGCGTGGAAAAACCGCGGCAAGAAAAGGCGGGCTCTGTTAAGAGGGAGGCTCGTGTCCCCCAGGAGAAGCCAGCCAGGTGAGGCCCGGCCGCAGGCGCCGCGTGTGCGCAGCCGCGACCCTTCCACGCCAAGCCTGGGTGCCGAGCCTGGCCGGGGACCCGCAGCCGCGGAAGAAGGAGCGTGGGGAGACTCACCAGCCGGCAGGCGCAGTACCGATGCGACTTCTTAAGAGACCGGGAAGAGCCGGCGAGGCCATATTTATACCCCGGGAAACTCCGGAAGTGAGGCACTGCAGACTGCGCCTGCGCGGCAGCGCGCACTTAGGGGCGGGCGCTAAGGCTGACGGGGGGCGGGGCGGGGGACGTCACCTCTTTCGGGATTGGTCCCTCTAGGGTGCCGGCGCGGTGTCGAGTTTGTGCAGTTTGTTCCCCTGGCCTGCCTTTACTGGCTTTTTCCAAATGGGCGAAGACTTCTACAGGAATGCTCTCGAGGTTCCAGAGTTTGGGTCTAGTTTGTATTTAGAAGAAACGTTTGATAACAGAGCAAGGGTGCTTCTAAAAGAATCGACACTTGAAAGTCCCATGGAAGGGGCTGGGGAGATGGCTCAGGGGTTAAAATCACTGGAGGCTCTTCCAGAGGGCCTGGGTTCCATTCCCAGCGCCTATATGGCAGTTTGCAGCTAACAACTGAGCTGCCATCTGTAGTCACATGATGTACATAACTCACACGAACACACACACACACACACACACACACACACACACACACAAATAAAAAATAAATAAACACATTAAACACACGCAAACAGCCGGGCGTTGGTAGTGCATGCCTTTAATCGCAGCACTCAGGAGGCAGAGTCAGGCGGATCTCTGTGAATTTGAGGCCAGCCTGATCTACAGAGCGAGTTCCAGGACAACATCCAAAGCAATACAGAAAAACCCTGTCTCAAAAAACCCAAAATAATAATAATAATAATAATAATAATATAATAAAAAGATAGTTGATGATCAAGGTATTTTTCCCTGGGTGTACGGGGTCCCAAACCCCAGCACTGTACACAAAACCATGAAATACTGCAATGTGTACAATGTCCTCATAATACATGCACAAACAATAATAATAAGTATGGAGTGTGGGGTCAAATAATTAAATCAACAGTATCTTCAGATCAGGGATGGCCTGAGCAGGAATACCGACCATGTTCCTCTTACATATTACATTGTGTGCATTACATACAGTGTTGACTATTACAGTTTTAAAACCCTCATGCTATTTCCCAGATTTTAAGATGTGAAGCCAAGCCTCACAAACTGTGTTGTAAGCCAGCTATTTCTTTCTTTCTTTTTTTTTTTTTTCTTTTTTCTTTGGTCTTTTCGAGACAGGGTTTGTTTCCCTGCGTAGCTTTGGAGCTTATCCTGGAACTAGCTCTTGTAGACCAGGCTGGCCTTGAACTCACAGAGATCTGCCTGCTTCTGCCTTCTGAGTGCTGGGATTAAAGGTATGAGCCACCACCACCCGGCAAAGCCAGCCAGGACAGCTAGGGCTACATAGAGAAATCCTGTCTTTTTTTCTTTTTTTTTTTTTTTTTGCTTTTTCGAGACAGGGTTTCTGTGGCTTTGGAGGCTGTCCTGGAACTAGCTCTTGTAGACCAGGCTGGGCTCCAACTCACAGAGATCCCCCTGCCTCTGCCTCGCAAGTGCTGGGATTAAAGGCGTGTGCCACCAACGCCCGGCTAGAAATCCTGAATTTTTTGTTTTGCTTTAAAAAAAAAAAAAAACTATTTTATTTAATTTTTTATTTAATTATTATGTATACAGTCTTCTGCCTGCAGGCCAGCAGAGGGCACCAGATCTCATTCAAGGAGGTTGTGAGCCACCATGTGGTGGCTGGGAACTGGACTCAGGACCTCTGGAAGAGCAGTCAGTGCTCTTAACCGCTGAGTCATCTCTCCAGCCCTTGTTTTTGTTTTTTGGAGACAGGGTTTCTTTATGAAATAGTCCTAGATGTCCTGGAATTCACTCTAGATCCAAGCTGGCCTCAAGAGATCCTGTCTTTAAAAAAGTATGGCCAGCAGGGGGCCATGGTGGCACATTCCTTTCATCCCAGCTCTGTGAGTTAAAAGTCAGCCTGGTCTACAAAGTGAGTTCCAGGACAGGCTCCAAAGCTACAGAGAAACCCTGTCTCAAAAAACAAACAAACAAACAATTAAACTTAAATATATATATATATACATATATATATATATATACATAATATTGACAAGAAATCAAAAGATGTGGGGGGAGAAACATAAATGAAGAGGAGGGGGATGCACGGGGCAGAGAGGAGGAAGCAAAAGTCTTGGTAGGAGAAATGGATGTTAGTATGAAAGTGACAGGTGACACCAAAAGGCCAAGGTTGTCAACTTACCTAGGCTGGCTTTCCCTTCACACTTTCCAGGAATAGAATTTAATTGAACCTTGACCACAAGTACAATCTGATGATGGTCCATCTTGAATTATGTGAAGACACTGGAGGTTTTACATTCTTATGTTTATTCTGTCTATGCAGACGGTATTAAAAGGGAACTGGGCATGATGGTACAAGCCTTTAATCCAAGCACTACAGAGGCAGAGACAGGCTGATCTCAGTGAATTCAAGGCCAGCCTGGTCTACAAAGTGAGTTCTAGGACAGTGATGCCTGTTACAAGGAGAAAACCTGTCTCGAAAGACCACACACACACCACACACACCACACACACCACACAACACACACCACACCACACACACCACACCACACACACCACACACACCACACACACCACACACACCACACACACCACACCACACACACATACACACACACACACACACACCAAACCAAAAACCCAACAACAACCAAAAAACAACCCACAAAAGGCAAAGTGTAGGAATGGTTCAGAGGTTAATAGCATAGACTGCTCTTTCAGATGTCCTGAGTTCAATTCCCAACAAGCACATGGTGACTCACAACCATCTGTAAGAGATCTGGTGCCCTCTTCTGGTCTGCAGGCAGAAGGCTGCATGCATAATAAACAAAAAAAGAAATTTTTTTTTCTTTTGTTTTTTTCGAGACAGGGTTTCTCTGTGGCTTTGGAACCTGTCCTGGAACTAGCTCTTGTAGACCAGGCTGGTCTCCAACTCACAGAGCTCCACCTGCCTCTACCTCTCGAGTGCTGGGATTAAAGGCATGTACCACCAATGCCCAACAAAAACCAAAATTTTTGAAGTGTAAGTATTATGAAAATTTTTTTTTCATTTTCACATCTTTAAAAAAAATCTAAGAGGCAGGTGGATCTCTGTGAGTTTGAGGCCAGCCTAGTCTCCAGAGTGAGTGCCAGGATAGGCTCCAAAGCTACACAGAGAAATCCTGTCTCAAAAAACAAAAAAACAAAAAAACAAACAAACAAAAAAAAAATCTAGGTAACAGCACTGTTTTTTGTTTTGTTTTGTTTTGTTTTTTTGATTTTCTTTATTTTGTATACAGTCTTCTGCCTGCATGCCAGCAGAGAGCACCAGATCTTATTCAAGGTGGTTGTGAGCCACCATGTGGTTGCCAGGAATTAAAATCAGGACCTCTGGAAGAATAGTCAGTGCTCTTAACCGCTGAGCCATCTCTCCAGCCCAGGGCTGGTGGTTTTAAGCAGGCTGTTTTTTGTTTGTGTACATTCTCCTCTTTTATGAGACATTCAGTCCATTCAGTATCCAGTAGACTTGCCTTTATTATTATTATTATTGAACATGTATACGATGTATATGTGGAAATGCCCCTGCTACAGTGTGTGGAGGTTAAGATCAGCTTTGTGGAGGTGGGTCTCTCCTTCCACTTTTATGTGGATTTCTGGGATCCAACTCCGTTCATTAGTCTTGGCGGGAAGCATTTTCACCCCTGAGCCGCCTTGCTGGCCCTGGCCCTCTCCTTTCTGATTCCATCTTCCAGATCTCACTCTCCATTCACCAAGATCCAAAGTTCATCCACTGTTCAGGGAATAGTGGGCAGTGTGAACCTTCAGAACAACCTCTGGAGACAAAGCTGCAGTAACAACTAGACACCTGACCATTTGGGCACAGCAATCAGGGAAGCAAAGAAATTTCCAGAAATGAGTTCTGACTCATGGTTTCTTTTCACTCTTAGGAAAGGGCAATGGGCTAAGTGACAAGTAAAAAAGTGAGTCATCGATGAGGTGCCCTGGGCTGAAACTGGGCTGCTGGCCAGAAAGGATAGGCAGCACCAGCTGCTCTTTGTGACATCAGCCTGGGGTTCAGTTAGCCACGGTCCATGTCAAGTCAATCCTTATAAGGTAGATTGAGTGGGTTGCAAGTCCTTGTCATACAAGTCCTTGCACATACAAAAATGGTGTTTGCTTTGACCTAAAAAAACAAACCAAAACAAACAAACAAACAAAAAAACCTGACCTTTATACTTGCATTTTCCAGACTTGGGAGGATAGGGGGAGGTGGCTAGGAAGGATGGACACCTAGAGATGTCCTCGGTACATAAGGGCTCCCAAAACTTTCTTCTGCAATTTTTTTTTTTTTTTGGTTTTTCGAGGCAGGGTTTCTCTGTGTAACTTTGGAGCCTGTCCTGGAACTCACTCTGGAGACCACGCTGGCCTAGAACTCACAGAGATCTGCCTGCCTCTGCCTCCCGAGTGCTGGGATTAAAGGCGTGCGCCACCAACGCCCGGTCCATCAGAACATTCTAAAGTTCTCACATCCTCAGACCTGTATCTCCTTCTTAGACCCTCGGACCTTACTGAAGCTTTCACTAACTAATGGCCTCCCCCAGCTTCTCTTTAGGAGCTTCAGTCCCACCACACAGTGCCAACTCTCATTTTCTCTCCTTTATGCCTTTTTAAAACTAATACCATCTAAGTGACTCTTACATTACAAAGTTCAGCTACCAACCCTACAAGGTACATTCTTGTATGAGTACAGCTTTATACCTTATTAAATAAGCATTTTTCTTTTTAAAAATCTTATTATAGCTGGGCGTTGGTGGCGCATGCCTTTAATCCCAGCAATCGGGAGGCAGAGGCAGGTGGATCTCTGTGAGTTCGAGGCCAGCCTGGTCTCCAGAATGAGTGCCAGGATAGGCTCCAAAGCTACACAGAAACCCTGTCTCGAAAAAAAGAAACAAACAAGCAAACAAAACAAAACAAAAGGAACTCTGCAGGAGAGAGTTTCTATAAGCTCCAAGTGGGAGCTGAGAGGCCAGAGAGAAGCCCAGGAGGGCAGGATGGAGCTGAGAGACCAGAAGGACAAGGTCACAGAAGCCGGGAAAGCTGAAGGGAGCTGTAGGACTTAGCAGGCAGCTCCTTTTGGGAGGCAAGGAAAATAGACAGAACTCGTAGTTCCAAGAAAAAGGGTAAGGAAAGGTCCCAGAACCTGGAGGGGGGGGGGGGGGGGGGGGGAAGGGCAGGGAGGAAGTTCAGGAAAGAGCTGGGGGGAGCCATAGGGAGCAGGGGGGGTAAGTGTTGTGGTAACAAGAATTTCAATCCATGCCATCCCCAAGACCTGTCAGAGACAAATGTCCCAAATCACAGAGGAGAGGTGTCCCTTTCCATTTGATGGGTGAGAAGAAGCTTCCTGGTGTGCCGGTGTGGCTTTAAAAGTGCATAAAGCTGGGAACTCCTTATTGACACATGGAAGGGGAGAGACAAAGGGTTAGAGCAGGTAGAGGAGAAAACAGCTGAAGTGCAGGGGTCTTAGGAAGTAGAATTGCACACTTGGTGGGGCCCTGAAGGATGTTTTAGGGAATATGCCTACGTGATGGGCAGCCCAAAGGGTGTAGAAGGGAGATAGATGCCCACATGGCAGGCAGCCCAAAAGGGCTTAGCCAGGAGAGAGGACATTCTCTGAGTAGGCAAGGAGAGATGGATGGTTGACTAAGGCAGAGAGAAGCAGCAGCTGAAGAGGCAGATTCAAGAATCAAATTTGGTGAGTGGCAAAAGCCAGCAGAAACAACTGATCTACACATACTTCAGGAGTCAGACCAGCAGCTTTGAGTCAGTTTGAAATGTTGAGGTGAGGGCATGCCTGAAAAGTAAGTGCAGCATCCTCTACCAATCCTAGCTGAAGAGAGAACTTTAGGAGGGGGTAGTGTTTGGGGACCCTCGTGTTTTAGAAGATGGGACAGGCGGTGAAAAGAGAAAACAGTATGGGTGACCTCAAGGTTAACCTTTTTAATTCATGTATAAGAAGCTCTGCTGTGCTGGTTGGGGGTGGCACGCCTTTAATCCCAGCACTCAGGAGGCAGAGGCAGACAGATCAAGGCCAGCCTGGTCTACAGACTGAGGAGTTCCAGGACAGCCAGGGCTGTTACATGGAGAAACACTATCTCAGAAGAGAAAAAAAGGAAAAAAAAAAAAAAAAACAAAACAGGTTCAGCTGCAGGGAGAGCACACCGGTGGCAAGGTACCCTTGGATATGTATGGATAGTATGTCCTAATTTAAAAAAAAATATTACATACACAGCATATATTCCTACATGGTAGAAGAGGGCACTGGACCTCATTCAAGGTGGTTGTGAGCCACCGTGTGGTTTCTGGGAATTGAACCCAGGACCTCTGGAAGAGCAGTCAGTGCTCTTAACCTCTGAGCCATCTCTCCAGCCCCTCTAATTTTTAGATAAGTATACAAGGGGTGCAAAGGAAGTTCCCAGTTGGTGATCCAGGAACCCGAGGGCATATTCCTCTTTGTCTGTAACCTGGAGAGAGAAGTGGTGAGTTAAGTCTAGAAGATGAAGAGCCAGAGCCTGGAGGAGGGTCTGTTGGAGCTTATCAAGTGGCTTAGTGATGGGCACAGGAAGAGGGCCATGTGCGGGGCCAGGTGCTGACTCATGTTTGGAGCAGGCGAAAACAGAGACAGAAGGAATCCAAGAGCATAAGAAGCTGGCCACCTGGGGCTGGAGAGATGGCTCAGAGGTTAAAAAGCATTGGCTGATCTTCCAGAGGTCCTGAGTTCAATTCCCAGCAGCCATATAGTGGCTCACAACCATCTGTAGTGAGACCTGGTGCCTTCTCCTGGCCTGCAGGCATAGGTGTAGGCAGACCACTTTATGCATAATAAATAATCTTAAAAAAAAATAGAAGAAGTGAGGCTCAGTGACCCTCATAACAGCACTTGAAACAGGGACACACCTTCATTAGCATCAGGTATTTTCTTTTTCAGTCTTCCCATGCTAAGACTCCTGCCTGTGGAGTCAGAGGTTCCTTCTCTGGACGTTTCAGTTTGGCCCTAATATCAGGGAAACTCTGGGAGAAGCAGGTCATAAGGAGGTGTTTTCCATCTGGATCCAGATAGGTGTATTGTAAGAGGGCCTCTGAGGCAGTCTAGGAATTGAGATGTGTCATCATGCTTGTCCTGCATGACCTCTTGGACTTTTCTGTTTTTCATAATTTACCACTCTAAGGGTGGCCTTGTGAAGACCAACCAGGAGGCAAGTTACAAACTGATCCGCAGCAAGGAAGCTCCTTGGGATACTGTAATTCCATTCAGAGTCCTGGTCAGGGACGGCCTCAGTCCTGACTGGGTGGGAAGCCTGTTGCTGGGATGGGGGAATGGGAAACCAGAGAAGCATGAGAGGAAGATGAGGGTCTGTGGGTTGAGGCTTGTTAGTGTGATCAAAAATAGTGGAAGAATCATCTGGTTTGGGCCTCACAGCTAGGAGTTGTGTTTCCTTGGATGGCTTCTGTCATGTGGTTACTTTTATTCAAGATGGGAGTGAAGTGACATGGCAAAATCCATCCTTCCTAACCCTAGCAAAGATGGCTGCCTCCATCCCAGTAGGGGGAGCAGCAGCTAAGGGGCAGCAAGAAAATGTTTCCTTTAAGGTTACCTATGTACAGGGTTTTTTTTTTTTTTTTTTTTTTTTTTTTTTTTTTTTTTTTTTTAAATAATGGCTGTGACTGCCTTTCTTTTTTTAATATTTTATTTATTTATTTATTTATTTATTTATTATGTATATGGAAGACCCTCGGAAAGCCCAGGCTTCCAGAATCTTAGCCCAGGACCGCGGCCACCCCAATCACAGAATGGAGGCGAAAGCTTGATGCAAATTGCATGAGGCTTTATTGTATTTTAACGAGCTAACCCCATGTTAGCTCAGGCCTTTGATTCACCCACCATGTCGGATGGCTAGCAAAGACAGTTTGAAGCTGCTTCGTACAGATCTTTATAGGGCAGCATAAGGGGAG